ATATATAACTTTTCACATAATTTACATAACTTTTAGTGAGTAAATAGGTGAACCTTAATAAACTTTACGAAGATAAAAGGAAGCGAAGTACGAGGAAAATTTGTTGAAAGCTTCGAAAACTTTATCACCGCTCGTCCCTCGTGACTGAGAATTCTTTTGTCGAGCGCCAGTGATGTAATTAGAGCGCTATCGCGGCCGTTTAATCGATATCATATCACGATACATGACGTATTGATACGGAATTCGTATTCAAAACACAGATCTTTGCAGGATCAAAATTTCTGTGCGCAATAACAATACCTTATTACTCATTCCAAAAGCAATACTTTTTATTCCTGTGCAGAATTTAATTTTAGCAAAATGAGTTCTTTTAAATATAACATTTTTCAAATTATATATGTATGTTGTATAAACGTTATAATATCTCCACTGATTTTTAATCTTTGTAAAAGACATATGGAAATATTTTTGTAGAGTTTCAAACATGTTTCAAAAGAGACTAATAAAACACCACTAGTTATACATTACATATAGTTTTCTCTTAATTAATTTCTAGAAATTTAATTTTAAAATTTATCGAATATTCTTGATAAAGCGTTAAAATAAATTCTATGCAAAAAAAATTTGCCGAGGAAAATAAATTTCCTTCATACTTTTTTTAAAATTAAAAATTTGTATAAATTTGAAGAAATTGTAAAAGTCAAGAATTCCCAAATAAAATTTCCTGTAGAAGAAGAGAATTTTCTTATCTTAGAATTTAAATTTAAATATAAATTTCTCTCATTTATTAATAAAATTATATAATAAAATATAAAATAAATTGATTAATTTTACTAAAGTGCACGGTAAAAATGTTTAAAATATAGTATTGTACCACAACTACCATAGGTGTTCAGATGTAAATTAAAAAAATTATCTCCGTATAGAGATCTTGCCATATTATGTCTCTTTTAAAATAATTTACCCTTTTTTTAAGGAATATAAATAAAAAATAATATAGTCTTGCTCCATTTAAATGGAACATGCTTCTTATTCTGTTTATTTTTAAATCAAGTAATAACTTGCTCTTTATTTTTCCTTAAATGTTCATTGTGCTAAAACATATATGTATATATACATATATACATATGAATATATACGTGAATATTGTGGTTATACAATATATAAATACATCCGCTACA